AACAAATGCATGAACTGTACATATCTGTCGACGAGCCGATAGCCACACGTGATTTGTGTCTACAATTAATGTCCGGCTTATCACTGATGTCTCAGTTAAGACAATTGACAATCGGTTTTCACGAGATATTTACGGATAGATTTCCCATTGATTTGTTGACACAAATTGGCTACAATTGTCGGCAACTTTCTAGTCTAAAGCTGCGAACAGTTGTCTCGTCGAAGAAAACAATTGACGATATCTTCGATACAATCAATCAGTGTTTGTCGCCATTGGTGTTGAAACGACTATCTGTATACTTGTATTTCATGGGAACCGATAGTAATATACGATTGTCGAGCAGCCGACTGAACCGTTTGCGACTACTGACCCATTTATCTATCGGCATAAACGTATGGCCGGTAATCGGCGATCGATTTTTCCATGATATTCACCGACATTTGCCGCGACTACAGTCCATACACTGTAAACAAGTGTCGATCAGCGACGACACCGTCCGTTCATTGGGACAGTTGTCTCGTTTGAGATCCGTTTTCCTGATATGCGATCCGAATCGTCAGTTCAGCAAACAGTTAACCAAACAGTTTCTCACTGAACAACTCAAACATATTAACTATCTGTACATTAACTGTAGTGATTGTAATGGAAATATCAAACATTTTATCTATTGTTATGATAGTAATACTACTACTAATGCTATTATTAACAATAAAAATTGTGATAAATTAATTATTTTATAAATATCCAGTAATCCTATTTATCTATCTATATATCTATCTATCTATCTATCTATCTATCTATATACTTTTTATTGTATAAATAATAATATAAGTTATATATTACCGTAATAATAATTACTGTTAACTTATCAAATCTCATTTTTAATTATGTCTTCAACTGGGAATTGACCCCGGATAAATTTATTTAAATTATTTCTATACGTTAGACAAACATTGGTGACCATCGGTTGAGCCGAAATCAGATCATCGATAATCAATTGGTCAGCTATAACACGGTTACGACAACTGGCTATTCGTACTGATTTCAATTTACGCAATCGGGACAGTGATTGCAATGACTGGCGGCTGATGTCCGCATGAAATATGTCAACAAACTGAAGTCGCGGTAAATGTTGGACAATATTGTGAAAAAATTGATCGCAAAAATAAATGGATCCCAAATTCAGCGACAAATGTGTCAATTGTTTCATTAGTATCAATGAATTACTCGTTAGTTTTGGTATTTTGCCGTATTTAGTCAAAACATAACAATCAATGGCCAGTCGTTTCAATTGTTTAAGATCTTTGCCCAATGTGTCCATCAATTTATTGCATTGACAATCACTGATCATTTGAATGTTTGCAACTATTGATATACTTTTCAATTTCAAACACCAACCGCTAAATCCATTAATTATTAAATTATCGATAAGTATGTCATGAAATTGTATATATTTTAGTCGTAATCGTCTTAATTGACAGAACTGTGTTAATGACTTAACAAATAACGGGATAACTGTTTTGTTAGGAAAATTGATGACAATGTCCAGTGATGTCAATTGGTTGGCATAATTTGCTGCAAACTTATCAAACAGTGACTGACATTCAGTTGACAATACAAATGCAATCGACTGTAGTCTAGTTGTCGACAAAATACAGTTTACTCCCGTTTCGTCAGTAAAATAGTGTCGAAAATCTGTAAAATTAAAGATATTTCTAACGCAGACAATCAGTTTGTTGAGTTGCGGACAATACGACTGTACGACTTTGTTAATCATCACCCGATGATTGTCTACTATAACATTATTCAACTTTAATGTCTTCAATTGTCGTCCAAATGCGGCCAATAATCGGTCGATACTCAGGCTTTCCATAGACTTTGATTGAAGACTTAAGTGACGCAAATACCGATAAAGTGTCGCCAATAGGCAATTGATTATAATGTTTTGCCGAAACAAATAATTATAGTGGTAAGAGATGGCCAGTGATTGAATGTTTGGACACTTTAGGATAATCACCGCAAACAACTTAACAGTTTGACTATAATTATGATAATATAAGTCAATCTCGATGTCTGTCTGTCCATTGAATATCAATCTCTGCCACTGTTTTGATACTAATTGTAGTTTCAGTTTGTCTTCGATTGTAATCTTCATCGACGACAGCAATAGTTCGGCCAAATCATCGCCGAAGCGATCAAACGAATCCCTCGTTAGTCTTGTTGTTGTTGTATTTGTGGACATCTTTACCGCTGTTGTCGCCGACGACGACGATGTTGTTGGTCATTGATATTCAGTTGTCTTCAATTATCTATCTTAACATTCAAAGCACACATACTTTAACTGTAAGTCAGTTATCGATTGAATATAAAAACGGAAATACTTTTTTTTTGAAATGTTTTTGAAAATTTCTAATCACTTAAACCTGTTTATTGTATAAACAAAAGTTAGTTGAAAAACAACTATTAAATATCAATAAAACTATTTCTATTTATTTAATATTATTGAAATTATAAAAATGAAAAAAATTATTTTGTTATATTTGTTTTTAAGTTAACTTTGTGTATTAAATAAACAGGTTTAGGGATTAGTAATTTGAAAATTAAAATAATATTTCCGTTTTTATTTTCATTTCATATATAACTTTTCAACCGTTTTTAATGTGTTGTTTGAAATGTAAAGATCTAATTAACTGAAGACAACGATAACAACAATGAGGGACTCGTTTGATCGTTTCGGCGACGATTTGGCCGAACTATTGATGTCGTCGATGAAGATTACAATTGAAGATAATTTTAGACTACAATTACTATCAAAACAGTGGCAAAGATTGTTATTCAATACACAGACAGACATCGAGTTTGTTATCAATTATCAAAATTATAGACAAAGTTTGGAGTTGTTTGCGGCGATTGTCCAAAAGTGTCCAAACATTCAAAGTGTTATCATTAGTGACTATTATTCGGTAGAATTGAATGAAAAACTTTTGGATCAATTGGTGATACATTGTAGACGTTTGCAACACCTGAGTATTCATGCAAACAGTATCGGAGATAATAGTAGTTTTTATCGATTAATGGCCACAATTGGACCAAAATTGAAGACATTGGTAATGAAAGGTAGAAAATACAACTATGAAGAGTTGGTCAACAATGTTAGCCAATATTTGCCGAAACTCAACAAATTGGTTATCTGTGATAATAAAACACATTTAATGGGTTTACGATATTATTTCTATGAATCGGGAGTTGTCTGTAAACTGCCCGCAAGTTTACAGTCGGTGTCATTTAAATTGCAAAACAAATCGCTATTATTTTTCAAACGCTTTATTCATAATTATGGCCAACAATTGCGATCACTTGATATTGTTGTCGATTTGGATACGAAAACAGATATGCAATCATTTGTCCAGACATTGACACTGATGTCTGAACTGACAAAACTTCGGGTAAAAACTAAACAGTTTTCCGATGTTTTTATCGATAATCTAATAACTAATGGATTCAGTGGTCGTCGGTGTTTGAAATTAAAAAGTTTTGATTTTATATCAAACTTTCAACCGATTACTGACTATCTATTCAATCGATTGACGGACTCATTGGGCAAAAATCTTAAACAATTGAAACGACTGGCCATTCATTGTTGTGTTTTGACTAAATTCGGTGAAAACCCAAAACTATCCACCGATTCGTTGATACCAATGAAACAATTGACACATTTGTCGCTAAAGTTAGGATTCATTAATTTTAGCGATCAGTTTTTCATTGATATTGTCCAACATTTACCGCGACTTCAATCTATTGACTTAATTAATGCGGACATTACCCGCCGGGCACTGCAATCCCTGTCCCGATTGTGTCACTTGAAAACCGTACGATTAGCCTATTGTAGTACCGATATTATCGCTGACCACTTGATTATCGATGATCTGATTTCGGCTCAACCGATGGTCACCAATGTTTACATATCGTATTTAAATAATGTTTATTGTGAAAATAAATTTATCAGGGGCAATTTTATTTAAAATTAACTTTAATTAGTTTTTTTAGTGACCAATGTATATGCAAACAGTTGCTATGAATTTAACTTTTTTGCTATTTTAAAAAAAATTTGATTTATAATTATTTTTATTTGATTTTATTTTTTAAATAAATTGATTAGTTTTTAAATATATTTTTAAACAGTATTATTATTATTAATTTAATTATAATAATTATTTGTTTAATTTTAAAACATTAAATTCAATTATTATTATTTTTTTTAAAAAAACTATTTGTGATTATAATGATTGTAACAAGTATTTATTTACACACAAAAAAATAAACATTAACTAAATCATAGCTTAAAAAAACATTTGATTTTATGTCAATAATTATCAAATAAATTGATTGATATTATTATCATAATTATAATTATTATTAATTATAATTCAAAATTATTATTTTTTTTATCAACCAATTAGTGCTATCAATACTACTGTACTAGTAGTTTACTTAAAAAAAAAACTGTTTCATTATAAGCAAAACCAAAACAATAATGATTGCCACGCGCTATGATACACTTATTTAACTAATTTTTTTTGACACTACTCTTAAATTAACGCTAAATCATATTTATTAGTATATTAAGCTATTTTTAGTAAGCAATAAATATGATAACGTAATTTAAGTGTAGTGTCACAAAAAAAATGTTAAATAAGGGTATCATAGCGAGTGTCGGACACTAATTGTTTTGGTTTTGTTTATAATGAAACATGAATTTTTTTTACTATACTGTCAATAGTAGTGTCAGAAAAGCGCATGCGTTTGTATTATTCAATCACAAGTTTAATAGCACTGATAGTACTATTAAATACAGTTAAATATATTTATATGTACAGTATATTACAGTGTATTATGTTTTACTGTAGTAATCATAAAAAAATCAATCAATCAATCAGTAAACATATAAATGTTTTATTTTTTTAAATATTCAATTATAAGGTTTTTATTAATTATTTATTAATTCAATACAAATATATGTATTAATTGATTGCAAAAAAAAAATCAAATGTAAGTATTAATAGTGTTGTTGTTGTTGTTATTGTCATTTGAATGCAGTGTTTGATTGTTTCACACAATTTACTAATGAATTTGATTTATGTTTTTGTTTTTATTATCAATAGATTTGAATTCAATTCAATTGAAACGAGTTTTTTTGTTGCGACAAAAAGTGAAGACAATTACTGAAGACAACAATGACAGCGACATCGATGATGACGACACCGAAGGACTCGTTTGATCGTTTCGGCGATGATTTGTGTCAACTATTGCTAACAAATCTGTCAATCGATGACAAACTGAGACTACAATCGGTGTCCAAACAGTGGTTGGCATTGATATTCAATACGGAAACAGATCTTGTATTTTGTAGAAAACTATTGGACAGAATGTCTTTGGACTCAATTCGTGACTATTATCAGACAATTAAGTTGTTTCAAGTGATTGTCCGAAAGTGTCCGAACATTACCGCAGTTATCATAAGTGAAGTCAGTTTGTTGGACCGTTTTCTTGACTTATTAATGATATACTGTCACCGATTGCGACACATTTGTCTTAAACTTGATTACGACGGCCACTTGTCGGTCATTGATCGGGCATTTGAATGCTTTTTTCGGCAATTTGGCCAACAATTGTTAACATTCAAATTTAACGGCTATAGTATTGATTATAATAAACAATTGTTTTACGAAGTTATCGACGGTATGCCTAACCTGAAGACACTGGACATCACTTACGAACACCGAAGAAGTACTGTCCAATTGAATGACATAATCATTGGTGACATGTATTATGATTTACCGAAATCGTTGCAATCGTTGAACATAAAACTGGACGACTCATCGGTACCATTGTTTGCCAGTTTTGCCGATATTTATGGCAAACAATTGACATCATTGACGATAGTATCCGTCGTCGACACCGACAACATGTCTTATGAATTGATTGTTAATTATCAGCCATTAATTGATGGTTTGGGACAAATGGTACGATTGAGACGATTGAAAATTGTTTTGTTTAAATATTTACTAAACAATTTTACCGGCGATTTATTTGCGACAATTGGCCGCCAATGTCGCCAACTAAAGGAATTGAGTTATCTATCAATTGAATCAAATATAGTGATAATTGAACGCATGTTTGCCGTAATCAACAAACATATTTCCGGACAACACTTGAAACGATTATCACTGTATTGTTGGCCTAATTATTATCAAGAAGAAGAAGTAATGGTTGTAGTGGACGATGAAGAGGAGGAAGAATACTTGGATTTAGTACTAACCTGTGATTTGTTAAACCGATTGCACGGATTAACACATTTGACACTATGTTTTGATAGAAAGTTTCGGATAATCGGTGACCAGTTTTTCCGTAACATTCACAGCAATCTTCCGCGACTACAGTATATACACTGTGACAGTGTGTTCAGCACTGAAGAGTCAATCATTGGCACTATTATTAACGGACAGTCGTCGCCATCATTATCATCAAAACGATTGGACGTTGTTGTCGACCACCGGTGCGATGCAAACAATTTATCGAAGAAAACTCAAATCATTTATTAAAATTTTTTTTATATATAGTATTTACCGTAACATTGATACTAAAAGTCAATTATCTGGATATTATTAATCTATTAGTTTATAAAAACTATTATAATTACAAACAATCAATTTTTTTTTAATTTCAAGTGTTAAATATTATTATTTTATTTTTGTTGATGTATTAAACATTATAGTAAAGTACTGATCCGTTTAATGTAATGTTTATCTAATTAATTAATTAATTAATTACATTACATAACGTTTGTCCATTAAATCTTAATTTTTATTGTATATTATTATTTCTACTAATCTATTATTTTTTAATGTAAATAAATTTATTAGAAATAAAATAAAAAGTTTAAATGTGTTATGTATGTGTATTACTATAAAACATTTACCGGTAAATAATAAACAATTTTTTAACAACAAATCACTGTCTATTACACACACAATACCAGATCATTCAATAAAAATTAAAGAAATTTTTTTATGTGTGATTATAAAAATTGTAATAAATATTTTTTACTAAATAATAATACTAATAATATAACAATTATAATAAACTAATTAAAAATTTATTAGAAAAATTATTATTATTAGTTTATAGTTTTAGGTTTAATTAGTTTAAACTTAATTATCATATTATAGTTTATAATTAAAAAAACGTTTTTTAAAATTCAAAAAAATAAATTAAATAACATTATTGATTGACACATCAATTAAATCACTGTATATTATATTGTAATACAATAATAATAAGTCAATTGTTTTGTTAATTATTATTATTATTATTTAATTATGTTATGTTTTGACTCTCAATGTTTGTAAAACACTAATTGATTGTTTAGTTTATTAAAAAAAAACATTTTTTTGAATTACAATTTCAATAAAAATATATTTTAAACACTATTTTTATGATATGTTTTTTTTTGAATACAAAACAATAGATTTAATTAATTAAAATAAATATATGTTTCAAACAAATAATAATTGAATTTTTATTTCAGTAAATATCAAGTGATTTATCACACGTTTGAAGACATTTTTGAAGATATTTTTGAAGATATTTTTTGAAGACATTTTTGAAGACATTTTTTGAAGACATTTTTGAAGACATTTTTGAAGACATTTTTTGAAGACATTTTTGAAGACATTTTTTGAAGACATTTTTTGAAGACATTTTTGAAGACATTTTTGAAGACATTTTTTGAAGACATTTTTGAAGACATTTTTTGAAGACATTTTTGAAGACATTTTTTGAAGACATTTTTGAAGACATTTTTTGAAGACATTTTTGAAGACATTTTTTGAAGACATTTTTTGAAGACATTTTTTGAAGACATTTTTGAAGACATTTTTTGAAGACATTTTTGAAGACATTTTTTGAAGACATTTTTGAAGACATTTTTTGAAGACATTTTTGAAGACATTTTTTGAAGACATTTTTTGAAGACATTTTTGAAGACATTTTTTGAAGACATTTTTGAAGACATTTTTGAAGACACAAACAATGACCACAACATCGGTAAAGATGACCACAAATACAACAACAAGACTAACGAGGGATTCGTTTGATCGGTTCGGCGATGATTTGGCCGAACTATTGCTGTCGTCGATGAAGATAACAACTAAAGACAATCTGAGATTACAATTAGTATCAAAACAATGGCAACGATTGATATTCAATGGGCAGACAGTCATCGAGTTTGACAGAAATTTCTGTAATTATATACAAACAGATCATATGTTTGAATTGATTATCAAAAAGTGTCCAAACATTCAACGATTAGTTTTAATCAATTTGTATCCAAACGACAAACTCGTGGACCTATTGTTAAACAATTGTCAGTTAAGTTTGCGTCACTTATGTCTGTACGCAAACAGTATAGATGTCTATAGTTTTGATCGATTATTGGCCGGATTTGGCCGACAATTGCTGACATTAGAGTTACCCGTAATTGCTTACAATCATAGAGAAGTGGTCGATAAAGTTGCGAAATATTTGACACAAATTAAACGTCTAGTTATCGGCCGAAATGTTTTCATTGAATTAATAGATTTTGGCCACTATTTTACCGATGATAGCGGATCTGACGGCTGTTTGTTGCCCACAAGTCTACAGTCGATGTCGTTTCAGTTGACAACTAAAAGCCAGTCACTGTTTGGTCCGTTTGTTGCCGCCTATGCTAACCGATTGACAGCACTGGACATTGTTATCGATTTTGATGACCAAACAGTTGTTCCAGTATTTGTTAGCTCATTGTCACTGTTGTCGCAATTAAGACAACTGAGACTAACTGTACAAAAGTTTTGTACGGATATTATTGTCAATCTATTAACTAATGGATTTAGTCGTCAGTGTCGAAGAATTAAAAGTTTTTCATTTACATCAAGCAATCAATCGATCAGTAATTGTCTATTCAATCAATTGATGGACTCATTCGGCAAAGATCTCAAACAATTGAAACGATTGGCAATTAGTTGTCCAGTTGTTAGCAAATGCGATGAAAAACCAATAATAACGAGTGAATCACTGAAACAAATGAAACAATTAACACATTTGTCATTCAATTTGAACGGCTGTATCATTGGTGACCAGTTTTTCCGAGACATTGACTGCCATTTACCACGACTTCAAAATATTCACATTATGTTTGCAGACATTACACGCTTGTCATTGCAATCCATGTCCCGATTGCGTCACTTAAATACCGTACGATTAGCCGATTGCCGCAACAATTTTATTGCTGACTACTTGGTTATCGGTGATCTGATTTTGGCCCAACCGAATCTGGCCAATGTCTACATATCATATTATAAGTATATCTATAAATTTGCCCGCGGCAATTATGATTAATTTGTATAATTGTTGTTTAATTTTAAATATAGTTTATCGGTAATATTTTTTATTTGTTTTGATTGTTTATATATATAATAATTTAATAATAATTTTTCTCATTTTTAAATATTAATAATAATAATAATAAATAAATAGAAATAGTTTTATTGATAGTTGTTTTTCAGCTAACTTTTGTAATACAATAAACAGGTTTATAAGGGATTAGTAATTTTGAAAATCATATTTTGAAAATGTATTTCCGTTTTTTATATTCAAACGATAACTGACTTACAGTTAAGGTGTGTGTGCTTTGAATGTGAAGATAAATAACTGAAGACAACAACAATGAGGGACTCGTTTGATCGCTTCGGCGATGATTTGGCCGAACTATTGATGTCGTCGATGAAGATTACAATTGAAGACAAATTAAAACTACAATTAGTATCAAAACAGTGGCAAAAAGTGATATTCAATACACAAACAGCAATCGATATTGACTTATATCCTCATAATTATAGTCAAATTGTTAAGTTGTTTGCGGCGATTATCCTAAAGTGTCCAAACATTCAAACACTGTCCATCTCTTACCCTTATTATTATATGTTTCCGCAAAACAAAATTGTTGGTCTATTGGCAACACTTTGTCGGTATTTGCGTCACTTAAGTCATCAATCAAAGTGTATGGAAAGCCTGAGTATCGACCGATTATTGGCCGCATTTGGACGACAATTGAAGACATTAAAGTTAAATAATGTTATAGAAGACAATCATCGGGTGATGATTAAAAAAGTCGTACAGTCGTATTGTCCACAACTCAACAAACTGGTTGTCGGCGTTAGAAATATCGATAATTTTATAGATTTTCGACACTATTTTACTGACGACGACACGGGAGTAGACTGTATTTTGTCGACAACTAGACTAAAGTCAATTGCATTTGAATTGAAATCTGAATGTCTGTCACTGTTTGATAAATTTGCCGCAAATTATGCCAACCAATTGACATCACTGGACATTGGCATCAATTTTCCAAACAAACAAATCCCGCTATTTCTTAAGTCATTAACACATTTGTGTCAATTAAGACAATTACGATTAAAATATATAGTATTTTATGACACACTTATCGATAATTTACTATTTAATGGATTTAGCGGTTGGTTTAATCAATTGAAAAGTTTATCAATTGTTTCAGACTATCAAACGATCAGTGATTATCAATGCAATCAATTGGTGGACTCATTGGGCAAAAATCTCAAACAATTGAAACGACTGGCCATTGATTGTCATGTTTTGACTAAATACGGCAAAATACCAAAACTAACGAGTAATTCATTGTTACTAATGAAACAATTGACACATTTGTCGCTGAATTTAGGAAGAATTTATTTTTGCGATCAATTTTTCCACAATATTGTCCAACATTTACCGCGACTTGAGTTTGTTGACATTTTTCATGCGGACATCACCCGCCGGTCACTGCAATCACTGTCCCGATTGCGTAAATTGAAATCCGTACGAATAGCCAGTTGTCGTAACTGTGTTATAGCTGACCAATTGATTATCGATGATCTGATTTCGGCTCAACCGATGGTCACCAATGTTTGCATAACGTATAGACAACAGCCCGATATATTTATCCGGGGTCAATTACCAGTGGCAAACATAATTAACAATAGGATGGTTTAGTAATTATTAGTAAATGTTTTTTTTGTATCAATACATTTCAATACAAAAGATATATATATATCATATATATATGCAAATAATTTATAACTTTTTTATTTCTTTAATACTATATATGATTAAATTAGAAAAGCCCATCAAATAATTATTGACCAAAAAAATGATAGCAATTAATACTTAAAATTATTTTTTAATTATTTAATAAAGTGATTTTTTTTATAAAAAAAGTAAATTCAATGACACTATTGATTGACACATAAATTACATGAATATTTAATATTATATAATACTGTATATATTTTTATAGTAAATTAATATACAGTTATGAGTCAATTGTTGGAGTTTATTATGATTATTATTATTAGCTGTATTTGTTTAATTGTTGAGTTTATAAAACATTTTTTAATAATTAATTTTAATAAACACTATTTTAAGGTATGTTTTTGAATACAAAACAATGTAAAGTTTATTTAATGTAAATAAATATTTGGTTCAAACTATTATTTTTTTTCATCTAACTTTTGTAATACAATAAACAGGTTTAAAGGGATTAGAAATTTTGAAAATCATATTTTGAAAATGTATTTCCGTTTTTATATATTCAATCGATAACTGACTTACAGTTAAGGTATGTGTGCTTTGAATGTGAAGATAAATAACTGAAGACAACAACAACACTAATGAGGGACTCGTTTGATCGCTTCGGCGATGATTTAGTCGAACTATTGTTGTCGTCGATGAAGACTACAATTGAAGACAAATTCAAATTACAATTAGTATCAAAACAGTGGCAAAGATTGATATTCAATGGACAGACAGACATCCAGATTGACTTATATTATCATAATTATAGTCAAACTGTTAAGTTGTTTGCGGCGATTATCCTAAAGTGTCCAAACATTAAAACACTGGCCATTTCTTACCACTACTATAATATGGTTTCGCAAAACAATAGAATTGATAGCCTATTGGTAAAACTTTGTCGGTATTTGCGTCACTTAAGTCTTCAATCAAAATGTATGGAAAGCCTGATTATCGACCGATTATTGGCCGCATTTGGACGTCAATTGAAGACATTAAAGTTGAATGAATTTATAGTAGACAATCATCGGGTGATGATTAACTATGTCATACAGTATTGTCCGCAACTCAACAAACTTGTTATCAACGATAGAAATATCAATAATTTTATAGATTTTCGACACTATTTTACTGACGACACGGGAGTAAACTGTATTTTGTCGACAATTAAACTAAAGTCGATTACATTTGAATTGTCAACTGAATGTCAGTCACTGTTTGATAAGTTTGCCGCAAATTATGCCAACCAATTGACATCACTGGACATTGTCATCAATTTTCATAACAAAACAGTTATCCCGTTATTTGTTAAGTCCTTAACACAGTTCTGTCAATTAAGACGATTACGATTAAAATGTATACTATTTTATGACATACTTATCGATAATTTAATAATTAATGGATTTAGCGGTTGGTGTTTGAAATTGAAAAGTTTATCAATTGTTGCAAACTTTCAAACGATCAGTGATTATCAATGCATTCAATTGATGGACTCATTGGGCAAAGATCTCAAACAATTGAAACGATTGGCCATTGATTGTCATGTTTTGACTAAATACGGCAAAATACCAAAACTAACGAGTAATTCATTAATACAAATGAAACAATTGACACATTTGTCGCTGAATTTAGAAAAGATTTATTTTTGCGATCAATTTTTCCACAATATTGTCAAACATTTACCGCGACTTCAATTGATTGACATAACTAATGCAGACATCACCCGCCGGTCACTGCAATCACTGTCCCGATTGCGTAAATTGAAATCCGTACGAATAGCCAGTTGTCGTAACCGTGTTATCGCTGACCAATTGATTATCGATGATCTGATTACGGCTAAATCGATGGTCACCAATGTTTGCATAACGTATATAACTAAACTCATTAGATTATTATCCGGGGTCAATTACCAGTGACTGAGATAATTACCAATAAGATATTATTTAGTAATTATTTTTAATGTGTTTTGTATTAATACATTTACAAATGTTATATATATGCAAATAAATTATAACTTTATATTTTCTTTAATACTATACTGTATATAAATTTAAACTTTTTTTAAAAAGCCCATCAACTAATTATTGATTAAAAAAATATTGATAGTTAATATTATTATGTTTAATTATTTAATAAAATGTTTTTATAATAAATTCAATAATATTATTGATTGACACATAAATTACATACAGTATTATAAATAATATTATTTTATTATAATATTAACTTAAGTTTTTATAATATAGTTTACCGGTAATAAGTTTTTCAATATTTTTATATTATAATCTAATTATTTTTTCAAATATTTTTTTTTATTGTTTATATACCTGTATATATAATAATTTAATAATAATTTTTCTCATTTTTAAATATTAATAATAATACCGGTACTAATAAATAAATAGAAATAGTTTTATTGATAGTTGTTTTTCAACTAACTTTGTATTACAATAAACAGGTTTATAGGATTAGAAATTATTTTGAAAATCATATTTGAAAAAGTGTTTCCGTTTTTTTTAATATTCAATCGATAACTGACTTACAGTTAAGGTGTGTGTGCTTTAAATGTAAAGATTTAATTAACTGAAGACATCCACAATAATGCGGGACTCCTTTGACCGCTTCGGCGATGATTTAGTCCAACTATTGCTGTCGTCGATGAAGATTACAATTGAAGACAAACTGAAACTACAATTAGTATCAAAACAGTGGTAAAGAATGATATTCAATACACAGACAGCAATCGATATTAACTTAAATCCTCATAATTATAGTCAAACTGTTAAGTTGTTTGCGGCGATTATCCTAAAGTGTCCAAACATTCAAACACTGGCCATCTCTTACACCTATTATTATATGGTTCCGCAAAACAATAAAATTGTTGGTCTATTGGCAACACTTTGTCGGTATTTGCGTCACTTAAGTCTTCAATCAAAGTGTATGGAAAGCCTGAGTATCGACCGATTATTGGCTGCATTTGGACGACAATTGAAGACATTAAAGTTGAATAATGTTATAGTAGACAATCATCGGGTGATGATTAAAAAAGTCGTACAGTCTTATTGTCCACAACTCAACAAACTGGTTGTCGGCGTTAGAAATATCGATAATTTTATAGATTTTCGACACTATTTTACTGACGACGAAACGGGAGTAAACTGTATTTTGTCGACAACTAGACTAAAGTCAATTGCATTTGAATTGTCAACTGAATGTCAGTCACTGTTTGATAAGTTTGCCGCAAAATATGCCAACCAATTGACATCACTGGACATTGTCGTCAATTTTCATAACGAAACAGTTATCCCGTTATTTGTTAAGTCCTTAACACAGTTCTGTCAATTAAGACGATTACGATTAAAATGTATACTATTTTATGACATACTTATCGATAATTTAATAATTAATGGATTTAGCGGTTGGTGTTTGAAATTGAAAAGTTTATCAATTGTTGCAAACTATCAAACGATCAGTGATTATCAATGCAATCAATTGGTGGACTCATTGGGCAAAGATCTCAAACAATTGAAACGACTGGCCATTGATTTTCATGCTTTGACTAAATACGGCAAAATACCAAAACTAACGAGTAATTCATTGATACTAATGAAACTATTGACACATTTGTCGCTGAATTTAGGAAGAATTTATTTTTGCGATCAATTTTTCCACAATATTGTCCAACATTTACCGCGACTTGAGTTTGTTGACATTTTTCATGCGGACATCACCCGCCGGTCACTGCAATCACTGTCCCGATTGCGTAAATTGAAATCCGTGCGAATAGCCAGTTGTCGTAACCGTGTTATCGCTGACCAATTGATTATCGATGATCTGATTTCGGCTCAACCGATGGTCACCAATGTTTGCATAACGTATAGACAACAGCCCGATATATTTATCCGGGGTCAATTACCAGTGGCAAACATAATTAACAATAGGATGGTTTAGTAATTATTAGTAAATGTTTTTTTTGTATCAATACATTTCAATACAAAAGATATATATATATATATATATGCAAATAAATTATAACTTTTTTATTTTCTGATTTCGGCTCAACCGATGGTCACCAATGTTTGTATAACGTATAGAAATAATTTAAATAAATTTATCCGGGGTCAATTCCCAGTTGAAAACATAATTAAAAATGAGATTTGATAAGATAACAGTAATTATTATTATTATTATTATGTTTTGTATCAATAGATATACAAATGATATAAATTATAACTTTTTATTTTCTGTAATACTATATATGATTTAATTAAAAAAAAAATTAAAAAAGCCCATCAAATAATTATTGACCAAAAAAATGATAGCAATTAATACTTAATATTATTTTTTAATTATTTAATAAAATGTTTTTTTTTTAAAAAAAGTAAATTCAATTACACTATTGATTGACACATAAATTACATGAATATTTAATATTATATAATACTGTATATATTTTTATAGTAAATTAATATACAGTTATGAGTCAATTGTTGGAGTTTATTATGATTATTATTATCTGTATTTTGTTTAACACTAATTGATTGTTGAGTTTATAAAACATTTTCACGAACTCCTGAAAGGAATACGTATATGCATTCTATAAGTCGGTCTGTCTGTCGGTCTGTCTGTCGGTCTGTCTGTCTGTCCCACGAGGACATAGGTTCGAATCCACTATCCGCTACAAATTTTTTTTAAATTTTTTTTTGTTTTTTTTCTTATTTAAGTTTATTTTTTAGGAAATTGAAGAAAATGGTGTCCAAAAATTAATTAAAAAAATTTTGAATTTTTTTTGAATTTTTTTGAATATTGATTTTTTATTTTTTTTGTTTTTAAGTTTATTTTTTAGGAAAATAGTAGTTTATTTTGTAATACTGAATCATTTGATACCCCACATGACTATAATTGTTTATTTTGTCATACTAAATCGTTTGATACCCTACATAACTATAGTTGATTTTATTTTATCATACTGAATTTAATTTTTAATTATGATTAGGAATTCGTGTGGAAATGCTTTCTAGCATTCTCAACTGGTTTTTAATAATTAATATTTTAAACACTATTTTAAGGTATGTTTTTGAATACAAAACAATGTAAAGTTTATTTAATGTAAATAAATATTTGGTTCAAACCACAGAACCGGAGCATTTTATGGTTAATAATAACAATATTGTTAGGCAACTATTATCGCTTTAGATAATGAGACCAAATAAATAAATAAATTATATTTTCATAAATTATATTAATATTCATTTTTTTAATTTATAATCGATAATAAAAATTACATGAGTATTTAAATATTTTTTATGTAATTTTTATTTAATAATATAATTTAATATAAAGTTTGTGGTTTATTTCGGCTTATTAGCTATTATTCAATATATTGTTTTATTTGATTTCAACTTTAACTCATTCATTCATAATTCATAAATTGTATCGTATGTATGGTTCAAACTATTATTTTTTTCATCTAACTTTTGTAATATACAATAATTAAGTGATTTAAGGTTTACAAGTGATTACAAGGTTTAAGTGATTAGAAATTTTCAAAAACATATTTTGAAAATGCATTTCCGTTTTTATATATTCAATCGATAACTGACTTACAGTTAAAGTATGTGTGCTTTGAATGTGAAGATAAATAATTGAAGACAAAAACAACAACAATGAGGGACTCGTTTGATCGTTTCGGCGATGATTTAGTCGAACTATTGCTGTCGTCGATGAAGATTACAATTGAAGACAAATTCAAATTACAATTAGTATCAAAACAGTGGCAAAGATTGATATTCAATGGACAGACAGATATCGTGATTGACTTATATTATCATAATTATAGTCAAACTGTTAAGTTGTTTGCGGCGATTATCCTAAAGTGTCCAAACATTGAAACGGTGTTCATCTCTTACCACAATTATTTGGTTCCGCAAAACAATAGAATTAATGGCCTATTTGTAAAACTTTGTCGGTATTTGCGTCACTTGACTGGTCAATCAAAGTGTATGGAAAGCCTGATTATCGACCACCGATTATTGGCCGCATTTGGACGACAATTGAAGACATTAGAGTTGAATCAAATTATTGTAGACAATCATCGGGTGATGATTAACAAAGTCGTACAGTCGTATTGTCCGCAACTCAACAGACTGGTAATCAACGATAGATATATCAATAATTTTATAGATTTTCGACACTATTTTACTGACGACACGGGAGTAAACTGTATTTTGTCGACAACTAGACTACAGTCGGTTGCATTTGAATTGAAATCTGATTGTCAGTCACTGTTTGATAAGTTTGCCGCAAATTATGCCAAACAATTGACATCACTGGACATTGTCGTCAATTTTCCAAACAAAACAGTTATCCCGTTATTTGTTAAGTCATTATCAAAGTTTTGTCAATTAAGACGATTACGATTAAAATGTATAATGTTTTATGATATACTTAACTATAATTTAATAATTAATGGATTTAGCGGTTGGTGTTTGAAATTGAAAAGTTTATCAATTGTTGCAAACTTTCAATTCATCAATGTTTGGCAATTCAATCAATTGATGAATACATTGTGCACTGATCTTAAACAATTGAAACAACTGGCCATTCATTGTTATGTTTTGACTAAAACTGCAGCAAAAAAACTAAAACTAACGAGTAATTCATTGATACCAATGAAACAATTGACACATTTGTCGCTGAATTTAGGATACATTAATTTTTGCGATCAATTTTTCCACAATATTTCCAAACATTTACCGCGACTTCAATTGATTGACATTAATAATGCGGACATCAGCCGCCGGTCACTGCAATCACTGTCCCGATTGCGTAATTTGAAATCCGTACGAATAGCCAATTGTTGTAACCGTGTTATTGCTGACCAATTGATTATCGATAATCTGATTACTGCTGAATCGATGGTCACCAATGTTTGCATAACCTATAGACCTAAACTCAATAGATTTATACCCAGTCTACTACCAGTCAATTACCAGTGGCTGTGATAATTATCAATAAAGTTATTATTTAATAATTATTATTAATGTGTTTTGTATCAATACATTTACAAATGTTATATATATATATATATATGCAAATAAATTATAACTTTTCTATTTTCTTTAATACTATATATAAATTTAAAACTTTTTTTTTGTTAAAAAAAACCCCATCAACTAATTATTGATCAAAAAAATAATATTGATAGCAATTAATAGTTAATATTATTTTTTTAATTATTTAATAAAATGTCTTTTTTAAAAATAAATTCAATTATATTATTGATTGACACATAAATTACATCAATATTTAATATTATATATTAATAATAATATATTAATAGTAAATTAATATATAGTTATGAGTCAATTGTTGGGTTTATTATATTATATTTTACTAAATTAATATAAAAAATACTAATTAATTCAATCTATCTATCAATCAAACACAAGTGAGTCCGCCATCGATGGGCAATATAGTGCCGGTAATCATATCGGATCTATCGGACAACAAATACAGTACAGTATTGGCCACGTCCTGTGGTTTACAAAATCGGTGCATCGGATGCTGGGCCAGCCACGGGTCTCTGACTTTCGGATCAGACCAGCCAACCAAACCCATTTCTGTCAGTGTTACCGTCGGGTTCAGCGAATTGACCCGTATATTATCGGCGCCCAATTCCAGTGCCCATACTTTCGTCATCAAATCCAGTGCACCTTTGGTCGCACCGTATACCAGATGGTCGCGTATGCCTATCATACCGGCTACCGACGATATATTCACTATTGAACCGCCCGTTCCCCGCGATTTCATACCAGTGGCCACTATCTGTGTAATGTTTATCACCGATTTGACATTTATGTTGAAATGTCTGTTTTATTTTTTGTTGATAAAAAAATAATAATACAATATTTTTTATTAAAAAAATATAATAATAATATGACATTACTTGTCGACAATGGCCTCATCAATGGTTCCCAATGGTGTGAGTGCAGCGTAGGCCGCATTGTTGACCAGCAGGTCTACGGTACCGATTGCAGCGACTTTTGTTTTGGTCTCATCCCAGTTACCGATATCGCAGCAAACCGTCTCAATTGATGGCAACTGTTTTTATTTTTTTTATTAGTAATTAATTAATTAAAACTAATTATTATTATTAGTTGTAATTAATTAGATATACCTCTTGTTTAAGACTATCCAAGTTTTCTTGTGTTTTACTCAACGCTACGACCCGAGCGTTGGCCGCAACCAACTGTTTGACAATTTCGCGGCCAATGCCTACAGAAAAATAAAATTAAGTATAAAATTATTTATTTTAAAAAATTTTTAATTTATTTTTATTTAATAACAATAATTAATTTTTTATGGTGTATACCTCTACCGGCACCGGTAACCAGTGCTCGCTTGCCATTGAAGTTATCACACATTTTTTGTGTTAATAATAATAATTATTATTATTAGTTAATTAAGTAATTATTTTTTAAAAAATATATATATTGTATATTAAATTATTAATATATATAATATACTGTTTAACAAAACTGTTGAAAATAATGTCTTAAATTTATAAAATCAATATATTATATATATTTTTTAATTACAACTATCAGTATCACTATCAGTCAATCAATTGATAATTAAGTTTATATTATAAACTACTAATCAATAATATTTTTTATTTTATTAAACACTATAATTAGAAATAAATATTATATTTAATTAGATTTAATTAACTGTTATATATATAATTATATTTAACTCATAGACTAATAGATTCAAAGTATTTTTACTGGAAATTTATATCCAACTGTTTGATTAATGTTTTTTATAAATGCAGTATTTATATAATGTTTGATATCAGATAATTGGATATAATTTATTTATATTTATATATATATTTTTTAATTAAACAAAACTAACTGTCCTTGAATTTTGTCAAACCAGAAATTCAAGTCAATTGAAAAAAATAAAAAATATTTGGGATTATTTTATTAACAGTATAATGTAAATGTATTAGTATTTAGTATTATTATTATCACATATATAAATAATATAATATTAAATGTTTAAAATCTATGCTGTATTATGAAATTTATTTCAATTTAAAAAAATATAATATTAATAAAATGATATATAATTATTAAATGTATATAAAGTATACTTACACAGTATATAAAAAACATAATATAATTAAAATAATAATTTAAAAAAAATATATTATTTATAAATAAAACTAGTTATAGTTAATATTTATAGTTATAATTTTAATCGTAAACAATATAAACTAATAGTGAGTTTATAATGGGAGTTATAAAAAAAATTATAAATTATTGAAATACATAATGGAAAAATAATTTTAATATATTTAAGTTTTTCTTAATCATATTATATTTATAACAAATAAAAACAAGTTTAGAGATTAAAATATTTCCTATTTTTCTATACTTTATTAATACTCTATTATATGGCTTACTGTTTAGTATGTTTTGAATTTATGATAAAATACAAAACATATTATTAATTTATATGTGCGATGAAATTGATTGACATTTTTTAAACAATTATTTTTGTGTGAAGACATTCAAACAACACATTTGAATATGAATTTAATTCAATTAATTCAATTGAAATCAACGGCTAATAGTTTGCAACAAATTAGTGATAAATTTCATGTAATTTGTAAACAAATTAATTGTGAAATAAATAGTGAAACAAATAATTGTAATTTATTAAAAATTGTTGGATTATTACAATTGTCTTCATGACAACACACGTGTGGATAATACGCGATTCACGTGCTTTTGGCCCAAATGTCGGTATAAAACTAAATTTAATTTAATTTGACATCAATCGAGTCATTTAAGTGACAAACAATTTAAATGTGATGTCAATGATTGCAATTAAAATATTTGTTAATTCAAATAGTCTACAAATATTATATAGAAATATTAAACACTTAAATAATATAAGTTTTATTTGTGATGTCAACGATTGCCGTAAAATATTTCCTACAAAACTTAATACTTAATTAAACATAAATCTCGTTTTCATTATAATAATAATAATCAATCATTTGTTTGTAATTATAATAATTGTAATAAAAATTTTCACATTCAAAGTAAATCTAAAAAATCAAATCAATTGGCTGTACATCTAAAACTCCAAACCATTTAAATGTGATGTCGATGATTGCGATCAAACATTTACAACAAAAATCCATTTATATAGACATAAATTAATACATTTGTCGAAAAAAAACGATTTAAATGTTCAGTTAAATGAGTGTTTGAAAAGTGTTTTTACAACAAATCATTGTTTACGACAACACATACCACGGGATCATTCAATTGAAACAAAATTATGATTATGTGATTATGAAAGTTATAATTTAAAAAAAAACTATTTTATTTCAATCAATAATCTAAATCAACCTAAAAGTTCTGCCAATTTAAAAAAAATTAAGCCATTTATGTGTGAAGTGGACGGTTGTAACAAACAGTTATTGCCATTAAATCAAATCTTTTTTTTTAAAAGATATACTAATAATAGTCATAATGGCATCAAAAATATTCAAAAATGTGATGTCAATGATTGTAATAATAAAGTCTATTCATCTAAAGTACAGTATGTCTCGATTATCACAAAAATAAAACAAAATAATTAATTGTTAAATTTTATTACTTAATGAAAAAACATTAAAATATATAAAAATAATTTTTTTATTTAAAAAAACGTTTAACTTATATATATATATATATAAATCTAATTTTCATTAACAATTTATCATAATTTTTTTTTATTATTATTGAATTATTACAGATTAAACTAATGTACTAAAACTTTTAAAACTATAGTACAGTATTAGTAATAAAGTTATTTATTTAAAAAAAACAAATATTAAATGTTTTTTAATCAAACATTATTATTACACTATAATAATGAAAAAACATTGACTAAACAAAAATAATTGTTTCAAAAAAATAGATAAGAGTATAAATTATTTATTATTACTATTATATTATAGTATAAATAACATAAGTTTCTTTATCTTTTAACATTTAATAATAATTATAATCATTACTGAAATATCCTTTAAAAAAAATTACTGTAACTTATATACAGTAGTATAGTAAACAATATATATATATAAATTATATATATATATTATCACAATAATTGATTACAGACTACTAATTGATTAGATTTGAAAACACTATGTTTTTTAAACATTGAAAAAATATTTTTAATACCATATACTGTATTACATTATAAAGTACTTAAAGTACAAAATAAAATCATATAAATAGTGAGGTAAGAAAAACTACAAAATATTTATATAAATTTAAGTAAACTATTATTATATAAAAAAATAATAAAAATTTATTTTATAAAAAAAACTTTTACTATTTATTATTATTTTAGTTTATTGAAAGTTTTTTTAAAATTAATATTTTTTGTTTTATTTTTTTGTTGTTGAAAAAAATGGTTAAACAACTAAACATATTATTTGTACCGTTGGGCGGTGTCGGCCACATCAATGCCTGCGTCGGGTTAGCCCAACCGTTGGTCGCCAGTGGACATCGGGTATCGTTTACCATCAATCAGGACTGGTCGGGACTGTTAGTAAAATACGGTATCCATGAAGTGATAATCGAGTCGGAAAGTCGACCGGACAAAGCTATGGGCGCTAAGGCGCCGGGCAGTGAACAAGCGGTTAGGGATAGAGTCAAAAAACACGGAGATATGATGAAACAGGCGGGAAGTATTGCCGACATATCGCCGATAGAAAAGGCCCGACGAAGCGGTCCGAAAGTTCGGGTTTGGATGGAACGGACCATCGAATTGGATGGTGAGTTGGAACGACTGATACCAGAGCTCAGACCCGATATCATAATATTGGATCAGTTCATGCATTTGCCGGCCATCGAAAAGTCTGGTATACCCTATGTGTGGTCGTGGAGTACCAACCCGTTGATGATGACAATGATGAGCGACGATCGGCTGCCACCGTGCGGCTCAGGTATGTGTGTCTACTATTAACTTATTAATTAAAGTATTAGTTGTTATAATAAATATTACGATTCAAATAGGAATGTCTGCTTATGGCGACAAAAACCAATGGAAAGACTACCGAAACGCCTGGCGTGAGGCCATCCATGACGTATGGCTAGAGTTCAATCAGTATGTAGTCTCTAAAGGCTGTCAACCGTTGGCCACCGATTGTCTGACAAATACGCAAAACTGTCTCAACATTTATGGCTATCCGCTAGAGTTAGACTACGTCGATGTCCGGCCATTGGCCGACAATTGGTACCGATTTGATAATTTTATGCGTCAGGAACCACCAGCCGGAAATGGTATGCCGTTTGAACTACCGGTACAATTGCTGGACAAACCGGGAAAACTGGTATACTTTTCGTTGGGATCGATGGGCGGTGTAGACGTCGCTAACATGAAACGGTTGGTCCAGATTTTCAGTCAATCGTCGCACAGGTTTATCGTATCGATGGGACCGAAACACGACGAGTATGAACTGCCGCCGACGGATAATATGTGGGGCCAGTCGTCGGTACCGCAGACCCAAGTGTTACCGCTGGTCGATTTGGTCATTACTCACGGCGGCAACAATACGGTTACCGAAACCCTATACTACGGTAAACCGATGATTGTGTTGCCACTGTTTGGCGACCAATGGGATAATGGGCAGCGAATCGAGGATTTAGGTTTCGGTATCAAACTTGATGTCTACAAGTGTACCGCCGATGAACTGCTTGAAGCCATCGATAGACTTTTGACTGATACCGCACTGACTGATAAACTGCAGAAAATTGGTCAACGAATCCAATCGGATAATAGTTTACAACAATTACCGCAAATTATTGCCGATTATGTCACTAATAATAATAATAATAATAATAATAATAATAATAATAATACAAGTTTTGCTAAATTAAATGGTAATACAAAAACAACATCTAATGTATTATCAAATGGTGATAATCAACGACAACTAATCACTGATAAAATTAATGGGAAATTTGAAGTAAATTTTCCGAAAAATTATTTAATTAACAAAAAATATTAATTAATAAATACTTAAATAATTTTTTTTTAAATAATAATAATAATAAAATACAAAATTTTAATGATTTTTTTACAAATTGTAATAATAAGTTTACATTTATTAAAATAATTATATTATGAAATAATATTAAATAATTATGTATTAAAAATATAATAATAAGAACTAATAAAATTAAGTTTTTATTCAAATAATTTTTTTAAAAGTTAATATATTATTATATATTATAGTGTTTCATATTTTTTAAATAAATTATATATTTCAAATATATAATAAATAAATTGATTATGTTAAATAACTCTAATTTTTAACTCTAATTTTCATTAACAATTTTAAAAAATGTTTAAAAAATAATTTATTAAAAAATATAGTAATAATTATGAATAATTCAATAATTGAAATTATTTCAATTACATTACATTAGAGATTGAAAGTCACCGAAATTAAAAAAATTTTAGTTGCATTTTAGTATAGTTTTTTAATATTCATTGTTTACACTTTAATAAAAATATTATTGAATTATAAAAATAATTAGTTTTTTTTAAAAACCTATTATAGTATTAATATAAACTTTCTATACTTTTACTCTATAAGTAATTACTGTAAACTTAAGTTAAAATTAATTTACTTTATTTGTAATTATCAAATAATTTAGAAAAATTATAAATTAGAAAAAAATATTTTGTAAAAAATAATTACAATATTAAATACATTTTTATTAAAAATAATTAAAACTTATTTTTTTCAAATTTATTTATTTAATAAGTTTGTATTAATATTACAGAATAGGTTAACATTAGAGCCAATAGTGACATAATAGTTGTTTCATTGATTTCATATAAATTAAATGCCGTATAATATAATTTATGTTTTAATTTATTCAATCGACTAATTAGTAATAATTCAATTAACAATTTATTATTATAATAATTATTTATATTATCATTGTTAACATCAACACTATCACAATTAATATGATAATAATGTTTTTTCATTGACTCCAATAGATTTAATTTAGACAATAATTTTCTATAACTTACAGCTACCTGTGCCGATGCCATACATGTGCCGACAATTATTGATAGTGACTCAAAAAATACGCCAACATTAGGATAATAGGCTGATCCGGGATTCAGAAACAGTATCGACATATTTGATATACAATTTATTGTATTAGTCGACAGTGAAAATAGTATATAGAAATTGATTGTTAGATCAAATTGTTTGCACCAAACGGTTAGTGTTGTTAACTGTTTGAACAGATCATACAATTGTCTTAACGATTTAAAATTACCGGTTGTTTCATCGACTTTCCGGGCCATACAAGCACTGGTATATGCCATCAGCGACAGTACAGTTAGTTTGGCATTGAATACTATACTGAAGTTTAGTTGATCTAAATAGACATCGATTGTTTTAATTAAATAACCTTGCTTAATTGTTAATAATCCAATAAATAGTCCGCCAATTGATAACACTGTTGTCAATTGTATCGCAACAATAGTAATCGCAATTTTCCGTTCACATTGTCTATCAATAGCTAAAAATTTCAGTAAATTTTCATTGAATTCCAATAATTGACGACTTTTTGCAAACAATATTAACCAAACAATGAGACCATCGATAACATAGCTAACAGAGGCTATCGATTGTAATACGTTAATCAAATTATGTTTATTTTTAGATTTTTTGTCCACAAATTGATTATTAATATTATTATTATAATAATTATAATCATTATTTTGTTGATAATACATACTAATAGTAAATGCAATCATTATATAAATGATTCGCAATATTAATGCCAATAATAATAGATTCCATAGAAATAGTGAAAATAATTTTCCTATTGATTTGCCTTTAGTTTTCATATATTCAAACAATATGTATGTATTGCCAGTAATTATGTGATAATTAATTAAGATTTTAAATCCACTATTTTTAATCATAGTTAGTATTTATTATAAAAAATACTAAAAAAACATATACTATATTACAATTGTATTATCTCTATAATAAATTTTTTTAATAGTAATAAACTTATATATACTTATAATAAATAATTTTTTTAAATATATAAATATAATATAAATATACTGTTTATTACGTTATTTTATTACAAATAAAATGCTAAAACATATGTATTGCTATTAAAATATTTACTAACAAAATCAATATTATGTATTTGATAAATATTATTATTATTAAATGATATATTCGTTAAATTGACATAAAATATAAATCTTGTATTTTTATTGTGCAAAATATTTACAATAAATTAATTTGTAAACTAAAAATAATAAATTTATTTAATAGAAATATTTGTGTAAATATTCTGTTTATTTGAATAATAAAACTATTAATAATAATATAGTAGTATATATAATAACTATTGTTAGCTAATATATTATTGCCTATAATAAACTTATTATCATAAATACAAAAAAAATATTTATAGAATAAATAATGAAAAATTTTATTTAAATAAAAAATATTTTTTTTCATTTATTACAAAATACAAACAAATTAAATGTCAAGCAAGTATTTAACAAATAGTATATTTATTTTATATAATTAATTTTAACAAAATATACCGTATATTGTATTGTATTTATTAATATTAATAATAATAAATGATTGATTGATTTATACATAAACTATTAAATATATTTTTATCAAATAGTTTAATTTCAATTGAATTATATTAACAAATATATTTTATATAGCTTTGAATACAAGTTAACACTTTTGATAGCCAACTAGAGATGGGCAAATAGAAAGTTTCTAATAAATTTCCCTGAGAAAGTTTCTAGAAAATTTCTCAGGAATAAATTTCTATAGAAATTTAACTTTATTGTTATACTATGGGATCCCCATATCTATAGCTATTGAAATAATATAAATTTATAAATAATGAGACATATTACTAATCATATTACATTACACTATACACTACTATACAAAATGCGATATCTATATATAAAATAATTATAATTATTAAATAATAATCAGTTTTCTAAAATTTTAATAATCATTTTATTATATATAAAAGAATTTAAGATAATTAAATAAATTAATTTTTACTTTAATTAATAATAAAAATATTAATACTAATATTTAATTATTACTTGTAAAACCAATGTATTGTTACATAATAACATATATCGAGAAAACAAAATTAACATGGGGATCCCATAGATAGAAATTTCTTTTAGAAACTTTCTAGAAATTTCTCTATTATTTTATAAATTTCTCTTTTTTGCCAACACTATAGCCAACTAATATTATTAATTATTGTAATAACTGTATTAGATTATAGCAATTATAGTTATTATTGTATAAATATTATTATTTTTTAAATAAATTATTATTGTTTTATTATTTAACTATTTTTGTTAGTTATTTTTAAAAAAAATATATAATTCTAATATATTTAGTATTTAAATAAAATTAACACAAATTAGTACATAATATAAATATTTAATAAATAAAATAAAATTTATTTATATTAAAACAATAAATATTTTATAATTTGATTTGTTTATAAAGATATAATATAAATGTTTTAAAATGCAATTTCAATTTTAAATACAGTAATAATAATATGCTTTTAATATGTTTAATTATATAACTTATATATAAGCTTAACTAATAATACTAATACTAAAATACAGTATTAAATAATTTATTATTAAAGTTTTCTTTGTGCTATTAAAGCAAGATATTTTAGAAATATATTTACAATTAAAAAATAATATTGCAAAACAACTTATTTATAATATCAAAATAAAATTATTTAGTTTACTAACTAAAAACAGTATAATAATATATTTAACATTTAGACAAAAAATATGATTTAATTTTTGTAAAACAATATTATTAAATATAAACTATTATACTAAATATAATTATTTTATTAATCTATTATAATAATTATAAATATAGTTTATGTATATTGTATATATAGTAAATAAATAAATGAATATTATATATTTCAATGTTAGAAATAATTGTATAATAAAAATATTATAATAACATTATATATCTGAAATCATACAATATTATCATTGATACTTAATAGGCACACAAAATAAAACATTTATATTAAAGTTATACAGTTTCATTTGATTATAGATCTATTTAATTATTATTATTATTATTTATATATATATAAATTAAAATTAAATATAATAAACTTATTGTACATTTTAATAAAAGCTAATACAACGAAATATCTTTTAAGATATGATATAATTTTATATATTATAATAAAACTAATAATAAACAGATAATAAAAAAATAAATTAGATTTTTATAAATAATAAATTGTTTCTGATTTTTATCAATAATTTATTGAATTACAAATATAACAGTATATTAATAGTACAAAAAATACTAAAATAAAACTAATAATGAACAGTAAAATAAAAATTATTTCAATGTTTTATTGCTATAAAATATTTAGATATTTTCAATAATAATAATAATAATAATAGTAAACATTTTTATTTATATATTATTTTAACATTTTATAACATTGAATACAATTCTAGTTTAATTTAATGTTAAGTTAATTAAATGATTATTTATTAGATTTTAATATAAGTGAATAATATTTTTGCAAAACAATTTTTGTTATATAAAAATTTTATTTTATTAATTTTTTTATTAACAAATCATTTTAAGTGAAAAACAATTTAGTTATATTTAGTAATATTATTGTAATATCTATAAAATTAATTATATTATTAAGTTTTTACAGCTTTTATATTAATTAAATTTATTTGTTAAAAAATATATTTATAAAACAATCATTTGTTTAAAGTTTTAAAAAATTATTTTGTTTTTAAAAAATACAAATATTATCATAAAATTAATGTTGTTATAATTGATTATATTTAATTAATCACTTTATATATATATATATTATATACAATGTTCTATACTATATATCTATTTAATTACAATCAAATTAATAATATCAAATAAATATTGCATTGAAAAAATAATTATAAATAAATATCATCTGAAAATATTTAGATATTTAATATTTATGAATAAAATTATTAAGTTTATTAATTACTGTATTTCTAATTTTTAATTTATAATTAATATACAATCGTATAATCAATGGAAATAATACTAAAAATATAATAATAATTGAAAATAATGTTTTAGCAATATTATTATTATTAACAAAATAGTAAAATGCTAAACAGCCAGTAAACATAATTAAATATAAACAATAAACAATATATTGAATTTTAAATAAATATCTATTTATACATTTAGTGTCCAGGTCAAAATTGTAGATACATTCGGCAATTTTCAACCAATAATTTGACGGTATTTTATCAAAATTATTTAATTGTTGATACATTTTCTGTAATATTGTCGTATATTTCATGTATATTTCCAAATTCATTACTTGAATATATATTAACCAATTGAATATATAAAACACTGAAAACATTATGTGATGTGTAAATAAAATTGATGTCAATTTTGTCAAAAATAATTCATTAATATATCTATCAATAAATGCTATGTAAATAATTAATGGATAAAACAAGCATGATGCTATTATATAGATCAACGATGGTATATTAGCTTGATTAATTTTATATTTACAATACATGTCATCAAGTTCACAATTAATTTCATCAATTTGTTGAGCATTTAATAGTACATAAATATAGGATATAAATATACTAATCAAAGTAATTAGAAAAAATAGTTTTAGAATATAATCATCAGATTTTAGTGGAAAAACAATTGACATAATGTTTAAAAATATTAACATTGAATGTGTTGTCA